AGGATTTTTAAAAAGGGTAAAAAACTTGGTCAGGGTCTAATGAAAGAAGATGAGGTGCAAATGTTGGATTATTTTGGGATTATTTAAAGGTGGGATTATTATGAGAAGACCAGTGAAAGGTGAGATTATTCTTGTCATTTTTTCCTTTTAATTTCTAATAGTTTATGTTTTTGTTATAAAAATAACAATTTGTGTTTTTAGTTTTTTCTTCCTCTATCCCCCTTATTTTCTTTTCTACTTGTTGTCTTCCCCAAAAAATGTTGCTGAAATTTCTTTCTAAGGATGGTTTTACTTGGACTTTAATTTGCTGATCTTGTCTGGTCTGATCTGGTAATGTCCAGTCTCTTTGTATATTTATAACTATCCAAGTCAATTTTGATCTGATATGATCTGGTCTGATCTAGTTTGATCTGGTCTGGGATAGATTACGGTCCAAATAAAAAGATCCTAATTATTTCAATAAACTATCATAAATATGCTCGTTCTTAATAAAAAAATATGTGAATTGTTATTACAGGTTCTTTTATTTGTGAAGAAATTACACTTTCAGTTTTTTTGTTATTGCTCATATTAAATGTAGTCTTCGCCATTAAATTGGAATTAACATCACTCATTTTTATAACTTTGACACAATTAAAATTGTAAGCTTATATACAGTAAATAATAATACACTTCCATACACAATTTCAAAATCTTCTGCACTAATTTTTTTTCATTTATAAAGTCAGGCAATAAATAATACTACGTAATTGTCAATTGCAAAATTCATATAGGACAAATGTATAAATTTTGTGCGCAGGCTAAAACTTTTTTTATGTGAACACCTATCATTTTTTTGTGAAGTTTACGGCCAACATTTCTTGTACGGAAGTGTATAATTTTTTGAGTGCGTATAAAGTTACAATCTTAAATGTGTCAAAGTTATGCACCATATAAATCAATAGTGTTAACTCGAATGTAATCTATCCGGACCAGATCAAACTAGATCAGACCAGATCATATCAGATCAAAATTGACTTGGATAATTATAAAAATACAAAGAGACCGAACATTACCAGATCAGACCAGACAAGATCAGCATATTACAGTCCAAGTAAAAACATCCTTAGAAAGAAGTTTCAGCAACATTTCTTGGGGAAGACAACAAGTAGAAAAGAAAATAAGGGGAATAGAGGAAGAAAAAACTAAAAACAAAAATTGTTATTTTTTATAACAAAAACATAAATTGTTAGAAATTGGAATGATGAAATGAAAGAACAAATCAAAGAGATTACGTGCAACGAGAAAATTAGGAAATGGGAGACTATTGAATTGAAGTATTGAAAAAGAAGAAAGAGAAAAAAACAAAAGAAGAAACTGAAAAGACAAAAAACCGACGTGTGCAGGGCTGGATTGTGAAGCAAGAGAATAAAGCAAAATAAAAAATAAAAAATGTTTCTAACCTGGAGTAGGAGGTCGGTTTCCGGTCATAGGACCTTTTTGACTGCTCTTTGATAGTAAATGCACCTATGTGATGTTTAATTTAGTACATGGTCTTAGATGATGTTTTCATAAAAGTACAAGGGCTTATTTGACCTTTTTTCATATATATAGATGTGAATCTTGTAGTTTAGATACTATATACTACCTCTGTTCTTAAAAAAATGCAACATATGAAATTTTACACTATTCACATGTTCTACTTTGACTACATTTTATTTATTAATATATTAATATAATTTTATGAAAAAAATATTGTTAAATTTGCTTCATTGTAAATTTTCAAAATCTAATATTTTTAATTTTTTACTAATACAAAATTATATATATTAATGGTCAAAGTTGTGTCTCGGCAATTGTGAAATGTTGACCATTGCATTTATTTAAGAACGGAGGAAGTACATTTAGAAATGTATTCCGTATAAATATATCTTCATGTACATTTAGAAATGTATGTATTGCATTCTTTTTTTTTGAAACTATGTATTGCATTCTGTAAATATACGTACTACGTATAAGTTATGCAGAGGGATAAATTTAGCTGATTAACTCTAAGGAAAATGGAAGCACTTGCAAATTTTACCATAAATTTTCATGCATTGCAGACAATCATATACAACTTTTACTTAATACATTGTAAATGAAGTTGGAACACTAGATTTAGAACTCAAAATAATCTTTCCAACAATGTACAAAGCTATTGAAACGGAAGAACATGCAACAAGATATGATCAAATCAAATACAAAAAACTATCTCTTTACATTCAAACTCTTTCCATATAAATATATCTGTCAAAACTCTTTACGGAGCATCTTGTTCCATTCTCTCACATGGTATCTAGAGCACAGACAAAACCCTAATTTTTTTTCTTGTCAAACCTCTCTGCCGCGGATGACTTCCTCCGGCTTTACCGCTTCCGCAGCCTCTTCTTCTACGGCGGTCTCCTCCGCCGTGATCGGTATCCCATCCGTTGCAGCCACAACAACCGGCACTCCTATTTCCGTAGGACCACATCTGGTCGTATGTTCTGTGGAGTCCGGCGTCACCTTCTCTTCCAGCTTTGCATTGCCAAGCCGCACCACCATGTCGTACTCTCTCTTCCAAAATCTACCGCCGGTATTTCCTTGGCCAGCTCCGTCTCAGGAGCAGTCCATGACCTTGGATCCCTCCCCTTCTCTGTTGGCTCTTTTTCTGGCCTAACGTTCGCAGGCTCGCCTGGGGTCTCCTTCACCCTTCCGCCTCTTTGCACACCAACACTAAGCACAGTCGGGTCCCCTCCAGCTGAATTAGCTCAAACCATCTCTCATGTGGCTACCAACATCGCCAACATTGTTATCACCAAACTTCTTGTTGTGGAAGATTATACTTTGTTAGGTCCCCTAGATTTTGAAGATCATTATGTAGTTGTTTTGATGATGTCATCCCTTTTTATTATCCCTGTATCAGACTATTATCTCTTGTCATGTAGTCCTATATTAGTGATAAAGTACTCTTAAAAAGCAAAGAGTGCTAAATGAGAAGAAATGTACCAAAAACAAGAAGAAAAGAATTTAAAAGAAAAGGTACGAAAGATAAGTTAATTGTTATTCATCGAAAAGGAAGCCAACTGAAAAACATGATTTCAGCAGTCTACTGAAACTTAAGTCAAAAGGACTTAATCATCAACACATGGCTCCCAAAGGGAATATTTATAGGAGAAAAGTGGACGGGCTCCCAAGTCTTGGGCTTGGGAGGCCCAATTACAATATGGGCCGCTAATGGGCTATTTAGACATTTACTCATATTTCCTTTCACCCAAAACAAAAAATTTAATGGCTAAAAGTTCAAATAGGCCCTTGAACTTACTTGAAGTGTTCAATTAGCCCCTTATATAGGAGGTTCTGCCCGGCCGCCGCTAATTGGGGCGGTTCCCGGTGGAATTTTTTGATGAGATTTTCTGAGAGTCTTCTTCATTAAGTCTAGTTTACCCATACCAAATTTGAGCTAAAAATTCAACCGGGAAGGCAGTCAAATGATTTTCCGAAATGTACTGCGCTGTTTAACTTCGCAGTTGTTTTCAAAAAATCATTTGACTACTTCCCCGGTTGAATTTTTAGCTAAAATTTGGTATGAGTAAACTAGACTTAATGAAGAAGATTCTCAAAAAAATTCGTCAAAAAAATCCACTGGGAACCGCCCCAATTGGCGACGGCCGGGCAGAACCTCCTATATAAGGGGCTAATTGAACACTTTAAGTCATTTCAAGGGCCTATTTGACCCTTTAGCCAATTTTAATCTATTCTCTTCAGTCTCAAACATGTTAGTCCAAATACTTTCAGTAGCATTAGTTAATGAAAGGCAACTATGGGTCCTGCTACAGTTTCCTTTGTTGTGTATTTCTTAGACAGTGTAAACTAACGGTTATGCTTGACATGCTTCTTCCCAACTCTTGGTTCACATAGACTGTGCAGAGTACCTGTTACAGCGTAATGCAAAATTAGTTCACTTTCTGCATCACTTACACTTTCATAATAACTAAGCAAGATATCCAACATAATCTTTCTATACAGAACATTTTCGTGACAACCAACCCCTTGTGATGCAAAATGGTCATTACATTTTCTGGAGTATCCCTTTATGAATATTTTGAAACTCTTTGAGCCAAAGCCTTGGTGTTTGTAGTCAAAGCGAGAGCAATTAAAGTATTAAACTCCATATTTTGGAATGTGCATTTGAAACTCTCAAAAGTTTTAAACAAAGTGTAAGTGATATAAAAACTGTATTTGACTTATATAGTTGAAACACTTCCAATGGATCCTAAATTTATGTAAAAAAACATACCTCAATTTCAGTAGCATACAAACTGAAGTCATGGGAAACAACCCATTTTGATCAATTACTCCGTATTTAAAAGGCAAATGCATTTGAAATGAGATTAAAAGTTTAGTTAGTCTATTTTGGAAAAAGTCTTTACAAAGTGAAAAAGTACTACTCCTTCTGTTCCATTTTACTTGTCTTAATTTTTCTTTGAAGGAATTGACAACAATAATCTAACTTTTGATCAGTCTGCTGATAATAATTCCACATTTGCATAATTACAGAATAATCACACCTTTGCAGTCCATCTTCTCTCATTGGACTCTGACCGATTGATGACCTACTATATCAGTTTTTTTTTTCTTTTTTCATCATCTTATTAATTCATTTATTTAATCTGTTTATGTTTTTGCTTTCCTTTTTCTCAATAGTTTTTTATGTAAAAGTGGATTATTTATGTAATAGTTTGTTATACCCAATTTTAACCATAATGAAGTAAAACACATAAAATGGGATGATAGAAAAATGCCAGTCCATATAACACATAAAATGTTAACCATATTTTAACCATACATGAAGTAAAATTATGTATTACCAAAACTTGTCAAAATTCCCATAATTATACGTATTAATTTGAAGGGGTGACCCAAGTTCCGTAGCCCAACGAATTTAGGAAGCCCATGAAAACGGACAAAATGCGGTTCCTAAAAAAATAACGGGAAGAGCGGAATCCTGAAGGAAGGTCTTTTGATATGAACTGGATTCATTCAATTTGAAACATATTCTCCCGCTTCTTTTAAACAGACCACTGATAAACGCCGGCAGACCACTCAAATCACTAATCATACCAGCCACTTCTCCTGGGGCTCAATTAACTGATTGATGCTTTGAACTCCCAAAAAACTTCGGTGTTCCATTTCTAGGGTTTCTGGGGTTCATCTCCAGCCACTTTCATCCTAGCTTGCTGGCTAGCTCATAATCACAATGCATATCAAAGAGATATGTTTGGAAGGTTTCAAATCTTACGCTACAAGGACGGTGGTTTCCGGGTTCGATCCGTATTTTAATGCTATTACGGGGTTGAACGGGTCTGGCAAGTCGAACATCCTGGATTCCATTTGCTTCGTTCTTGGAATTACAAATTTGCAGCAAGTTAGAGCTTCGAATCTCCAGGAGCTGGTCTATAAACAAGGCCAAGCCGGAATTACTAAGGCTACGGTTTCTGTCATTTTTGACAACTCGGATCGTAGTAGGAGCCCTTTGGGGTATGAGGATTCCCCAGAAATCACCGTTACTCGTCAGGTGAATTTACTCGTTCCAAATCAATTTTCCATTCCATGCAATTACTATTAGCTCTCGTCTCTATACTAGCTTGCAGCAGCGTAGGCACATTTTTTTATGACAGTGCGTGTTTAGTTTTCATAGATGTGTTATTGTAGAGTTCTTTTGTAGTCCGTCAGTGCATTTTCATTCATTTGCAACCAATTGTAAAGATTTTGATATTCGAATGCAGATTGTAGTTGGTGGGAGGAATAAGTATCTAATCAATGGTCACCTAGCTCAGCCAAGTCGTGTGCAGAACCTTTTTCACTCTGTACAGCTTAATGTGAACAATCCCCATTTTCTTATAATGCAAGGCCGCATTACCAAAGTCCTGAACATGAAACCTCCTGAAGTTTTGTCTATGCTCGAAGAGGCTGCTGGGACAAGAATGTATGAGACTAAGAAAGACGCTGCACTTAAAACACTTGAAAAGAAGCAAAGCAAGGTTGATGAGATTGATAAGCTCCTTGACCAGGAGATTCTTCCTGCTTTGGATAAGCTTAGAAAAGAAAGGAAGCAGTATGTGCAGTGGGCAGATGGAAATGCAAAACTGGATAGGCTAATGCGGTTCTGTGTTGCCTATGACTATGTTCAAGCTGAGCAGGTCAGAGATAATGCAATCAAGGGTTTGGAAGAGATTAAAGCTAAGATTTATTCAATCGATGGTAATGCAGATAAGATGCGTGGGGAGATAAAGCTATTGGAAAAAAAAGCATCAGAACTTCAGGCTGAAAAAGAGGCAAACATAGGCGGGGAAGTGAATAGTTTGTCTAAGAGAGTTGATGCTCTTTCACATGATCTGGTGAAGGAAACATCTGTGCTGAAGAATCAAGAGGACACTCTTGGGACTGAGAAAGCTAATTTTAAAAAGGTAAGAAGGGTTTAAGTTCATAATTTGAATCATTCGTCGTTCTTATATTGTTGCTGCAATTTGTCTTTCACGAGTGCGAGATAAGATTTTGGCCATTAATCGGTTATTATTAAAAAATATTGGAAAATCATACTCGTATTATGATATTTTACAATGAGAAAAGTTCAACAATAAAACTTTTCAATTCATTAATAAATAAATTGTGGCCAAAGTAGGCATTTGAATAGTAGAAAGTCAAAACATTGCAACTATTAAAGAACGAAGGTAGTATTTGTCATTTTGAGCATGGACATTTTATATTTATACTTATTTTTGGAATTTCCAGATGGAGGCAAACCTTGAAGAATTAAAGCAATTAGCAGAAGAGAAGGCAGCTGCTGTACAAGAAGCTGAGGCTGGAGCATCAGATCTCAAGAAAACTGTTCAGGATCTTTCCAAAAATCTTGAAGAGTTTGAGAAGGAGTATGAGGTGAGCAATCTGAAACTGCTGCAGTATCTGCAAGTTGTTTAAAGCTTGTACGAAAATTAAATCATCTCACTATATAAAGAATTTGCAACTAACTATACCTGTCACACTGCAGGGTGTGCTAGCTGGAAAGGGTAGTGGCAATGAGGAGAAATGTCTTGAGGATCAACTCAGGGATGCCAAAGTTTCAGTTGGAACATCTGAAACAGAGTTGAAACAGTTGAAAACTAAAATAAATCATTGTGAAAAGGAACTGAAGGAGAAGAGAACTCAGTTGGTCTCGAAACGTGATGAAGCTGTTGCTGTTGAGAATGAGCTAAGGACTCGGAGGAAAGAAGTTGAAAACACAAAAATTGCTTTGGAATCTCTGGGGTACAATGAGCAGCAGATGGAGTCTTTGCAAAAGGTATACTTTTATGTTCTATTACAGCCTCAAAGATTTCCACCATATTGGCATAGGAATCTGAATTTTGTTTGACGTAATGATGAATGCTACTCCCTCTCTATTGAAATGTTTGCTACAATAGGGTTTGACACGATATTTAAGGGAAAATTAGTCTGAACAGTGTAGGTAAATTAGGAGATAGGGTAAAAAAGTATGAAAGAGAAGATAAAAAGTAGAAAAAGTAAGGGTAATTGAGTATTCTTAAAGGGAAAACCTACCAAAAGGGAAAATGTAGCAAAAATTAAAATACACCTGAAAAAGAAAAGTGTAGCAACCATTTCAATACGGAGGGAGTATAAGGATTTTTACTCGACTTAATGATAAATGATGTCACCTCAAAATCTTTTGGGACTAAGGCTTGGATGTTGTTGATAAATGATGCCAGGATAGAGTAGTTGAAGTAGAGACGATTCAGAGGTTGAAGGATGAAATCCGTGTTCTTTCTCCTCAACTGGGTAATGTTGAATTCACATACCGTGATCCCGTGAAGAATTTCGATAGATCAAATGTTAAAGGTGTGGTTGCTACACTCATCAAAGTGAAGGATACTTCTACAATGACTGCCTTAGAGGTTAGTTTATAATTGATTCAGGAAATGCTTTTCTTTTTTCAGGTATATGCTTAGCGATAAGTGTTGGGACTGCTTAATTTTTGTTATAATGCAGGTTTCTGCTGGCGGTAAATTGTTTAATATTGTTGTGAACACTGAACACACTGGAAAACAACTTCTTCAAAACGGTGGTCTCAGGAGAAGAGTAACTATTATTCCTTTGAACAAAATTGAAAGTCATCCTATCCCTCCAAGAGTTAAAAGTGCTGCAACTAGGCTGGTTAGTCATTGCACCTTGTTTTTCCCGTGCTTGATTGTATAACTAAAATGTTGTGCTTCTCCATGATGATTGCTCTGTTTCTGTTTTCAGGTAGGCATGGGCAATGCTGAAGTGGCTCTTGATCTTATTGAATATGATACAGAAGTCAAGGTGTGCTTCCATTGAACTCGTAACAAGTTAATGAATTTTTTAATATCCTAATAAGCCTCTTAACACGTTTTTACAGGAACCAAGCATTTGATGGTTTATTCTTATTCTTATTCTTATTCTAATAATTAACGAATTATTAGAATATATGCATTGCAGAGTGCAATGGAATATGTATTTGGATCAACTTTTGTTTGCAAAACAGCTAATGCTGCAAAAGAGGTAAATTATGTAAACAGCAGTGTCTATGGGGGGCGTTTTTTATATCTTTCTTCACACTTCTTCCGTGTCTTTGTTCAATCACTAGTTCCCATAATTTTATGGTGTGGCTTATAAGCTTAATCCCTCAACAGTTGACACATTCTTGGACATCATCCTTATTCTTAGATAGGGGAATAAGAGCACTCTTCCGCCAACTCGCTAGCATTTTATAAGGCATACGATATAAGCAGTTTACTGAATTAAGAAGTAACTATATTCATTTCAATCATATTAATTGTGGAAAGTAACAACAAATAAATGAATGCAACTTATGTTTTCAGAACTTCATCTTTATTAAATAAAAATGGAAAACTTAGCAGAATAAACAGAACGAGACCTATCTGATGGAGGCTGATTTCTGTCAGCAAATGAATCATAAATTCTCAAGTGTCTTCTTTGCTCTACACATATGAAAGGAAACCAGTAATTCAGTATCACTCTATTTTGCAGTTGCTTATTCATTGGAGTATTTCTTGTGATTATTGATGCTTATATGAATCTTCCCCATCATCTAAAATACTTACATTGTTCTCTAGGTTGCTTTTAACCGGGAAGTTGGAACGCCAAGCGTGACACTAGAAGGAGATATTTTTCAGCCCAGTGGGCTTCTTACTGGTGGTAGCCGAAAGTATGTGATCATTTTTTCCCCGCAGCCCCACTAAATCCATAACTGTCTAAAAGTGATGCATTGATCTGCTTGTATCTTGTGGAACAAGTTGTATGATTTAAAGGCTGTCTTTGTTTCATAGAAGTGTTTCCCTTAGCATTCTCAAGCACATCTTTTTTTGTTGTGCCAGGGGTGGTGGAGAGTTGTTGAGGATGCTTCATGCTATGGGTGAGGCTGAATCAAATCTCGCATTTCATCAAAAACGTCTCTCAGAAATTGACGCTCAGGCTAGTTTTTCCTTTATCCTAGGAAATATGAACAAAATCCTTTGTAACTAGGGTTGTTATTTTCCTTAAATGTGTTTAATTTTATATTTGAATAGATTGTTGTGGGTCTTAAACTGATATGTCCTAACTCCAAAGTCTTTTATGGTTAAAAAAGTTATGACCCAAGTTCTTTCATCTGTACTGTGCAATGGCCAACTTTTCTTTCGATGCATAGCTGTTTGAGTAATGTAACCACTTAATGTTGTTTCTATCCAGGGGCTTGACTTCTTATTCATTTTTTTTCCCTCCTATTTTGGGCATTTAGATCAATGTGCTTCGACCTCTTCAGCAAAAGTTCAAAGAACTTAAGGCACAATTTGAATTGAAGTCATACGATCTTTCGTTATTTCAGAATAGAGCTGAGCAGAATGAACATCATAAGGTTGTACAAATGCACCTCTTAGGTGTGCATTTATAAAGTTCTACGAATTATAGTTTTATCTTATAACTATATGGCCTACATATTTTTTGTTTTCTGTAACTCTTAGCCGTACTCATTGTATTCATTGCATTCCTACTTTTTTTAAAATACAGTTAGGAGAAATAGTGAAGAAGATTGAGCATGAACTAGAGGAAGCAAAGCTAGCTGTGAAAGAGAAGGAGCTCCAGTATTCAAGCTGCATCGATAAAGTGTCATGGCTTCAGAAGTCAATTCGTGACCATGCTGGTAGTAGAGAGGACAAGCTTAAAGATTTAGAAAAGAAGATTAAGACAATAAAGAGTCAGACTCAATCACTATTAAAGAACCTAAAGGTAGCTTTCATTATTGACAGTTCTGAATTTCTGAAGGATCTTCAGTGACCTGCATTTCTTCAAAACTAAAATTTTGAAAGCAATTACAATTTTCCTTTTGCATGTTCAATCAATGTGGTTATATTGTTGCCTTTAGGTTGTTGACAGTCTCTTCTTTGTTGCATTCCTCTTGTGTTGATAGCTAATTAATTGCTATGGATGTGATGAGAAATCATTAGATTTGCAATGATATTATTTTGTGATTCTATCAGGGGCATGAGAATGAAAGGGAAAGGCTCATAATGGAGGTTGAAGCTGTGAAACAGGAATATGCTGCATTAGAGAGTCAGTTAGTCGCTCTGAAGAAGCAGATCTCTGACCTTACAGTGGGAGTCGATTCTCAGAAGAAAAAGGTGATATCCTTCTGCCATGTACAAGTATATTGAGGCTGTTTGGATTCTAGCGTGTTGGGGCAAAACGCCGTTTCCTTATAAAAGAAAACGCTAGAAATACTAGCGTTTGGAGTTGAAAATGCCAAAAAACAAACATGGCCATGATCTTGTTAAATTGTGATTGCATAGAAATGCTGATTCTTTTTGTTCCTTAGACCCTGTTCTTTTTGTTCTTTACACCCTGTTTGGTTGGGAAGAAAATATGGATAGATATGAAAATGAGACTGGAAAATTCTATTTTTTACTGTTTTACCATGATAGGATTTAAGTGGAAGCTAATGTTTATTTTTCTCTCATCCCAAACTCTCCAATTTGGAGAAAACAAAAATATGAATTGCTTTTGTAACTATTTTTTTCACTCCTCTTTCCCTTCTATGTAGAATACTAAACTAATCTATAACTTCCTGATGCAGGTTGTGTCTGTAAAAGATGACCACGACTTGGCCCTAAAAGAACTCAATGCAGCACGCTTGAAGATAAAGGAATGTGACTCTCAAATTTCAAGCATCCTCAAGGAACAGCAGGGACTTCAACATAAACTTAGTGAGATTGCTCTTGAGAAGAAGAAATTGGAAAATGAGGTTTATTTTTAGTAATATTTTGTTGTTCGTAATTAGTTGCGTGAATGGAAAATAGATTTAATGTGCATTCCATTTTCAGGTAAAACACATGGAGATGGATCAAAAAGATTGCTCCCTTAAAGTTGAGAAATTGCTTGAAAAGAATGCATGGATTACATCTGAGAAACAACTTTTTGGGAAAAGCGGAACTGATTACGATTTTTCATCATGTAATCCCCGAAAAACCAAAGATGATTTTGAAAAGCTACAAGCTGAACAATCAGGGTAATGTTATTGCTTCTCTAAAATATACTACATATATTATTGTACATATTTCAGCTTTGACTTGAGTATTTATCCATGGCTTATTTATACATCAATATTTGTTGTTACAGCCTTGAGAAAAGAGTGAATAAGAAGGTCATGGCGATGTTTGAAAAGGCTGAAGAGGAATACAATGATTTAATAGCTAAAAAAAACATCATAGAGGTTGGATTTGTGAATTATTAGCGTAATGTATGAGTTGGTTGCATTGCCTTTTTTTGTTTAACTGATATCTTCTTGTAGAAGGACAAAGCAAAGATCAAGAAGGTGATTGAAGAACTTGATGAGAAAAAGAAAGAAACACTTAAAATTACTTGGGAAAAAGTTAACAGGTAGGAAGAGTATGTTTTCATCCCGACCCACATTTGTTATTATTGTGAAACTAATTTATAGTCTGTAATTCATTAAAGGTATGGCCGGCAGACAGGAAAATTATAGTGATTTAACCTGTTAAGTTTTTTATACTTTTCAGATTCTCTCTGTATATAACAGAAACATATTAAATGAAATAAGTTCGAACTAGTATATAAAATTTTGTAAATAACTTCTATCTTTTTTCATTCTCTAGTATTATCTGAGTTTCAAGTGGCCCCTAAACCAAATTCTAAGAACTTTACTATTTCCAGTGACTTTGGTTCAATATTTTCCACACTCTTGCCTGGAACAAATGCAAAGCTGAATCCTCCTGAAGGTGGAAGCTTCTTAGATGGTCTCGAGGTTCGTGTAGCGTTTGGAAGTGTTTGGAAACAATCATTATCAGAGCTTAGTGGTGGGCAGAGATCTCTACTTGCCCTATCTCTCATACTCGCTTTGCTTCTTTTCAAACCTGCTCCACTCTACATACTTGATGAGGTATATCTTTCTTTTCTGCACCCCACCATCGAAAGACGAAAGCTATTCCTTTTTTAAAACTAACGGTGTGTTCGAATGTTCATGTTTGAGAGTAAAAGAGAAGGGTAGAAATATGTACTTTAAAAAAAGCAGGAGAAGAAATAGAAAAAATATTAAAAAGAAATGAGAAATTTTAAAAGAAAGAGAAGATGATAGAGGCAGTAATTTGAAAACAGAGGCAGTAAGGTAAAAAATTGATAATTTGAAAATAGAGCAAGCGCTTATAATTTTTTTCTAATGAGATACGGAGAAATTAATGGAAAACAGAGGCAGTATGATAATACTGTCATGTAAGAGTTCATGTTGTATCTAAGTTATGTGACGACTGACGACTTTTAGTTTCCAAGATAAAGGGATCTTTAATTCTTTATCACATCTCCAAGCCCTTGACCAAGAATATCAGGTTATCTCACATGTATCTTTAACTCTGTTACACTTGTTTGTGCAGGTTGACGCTGCTCTTGATCTTAGTCATACCCAGAACATTGGCAGGATGATCAAGAGTCACTTTCCACATTCCCAGGTTTTTTTGGTTAAACTAATGTTTTACCCAGTTCTGGAAAAGCAAATTTAATTTGTATTTTGGGTGTGTAGGGGAATGAACTATTATGATTTATGAGTATGGTCCTTATTTCCTCTGTTGGATTAAGTTTCATGTGGTGTCATTGTGCAGTTCATTGTGGTGTCATTGAAAGAAGGGATGTTTAACAATGCCAACGTGCTTTTCCGGACAAAATTCGTTGATGGTGTCTCCACCGTCCAGAGGACTACCGCAGCGAAGGCCAAGTAGTGAAGATGATCTCACACACTACGATAACTATGAAAGCGTTAATGAAACTTTAGTGTATAAAGCTAGTTTTCACATATGTGGATTAGTGCATTTAAGGTAGAAATATGTAGTACGTAGTATTAATTTAGTGAATGTGTAATTTAGTACGGAGTACGGGCACATTCTTTTTTTATATGAATAGCTATTCTGAATCAAATGAGTTTTTTGTTGCATAAAATCTATTAGAAAATAATGGTTAGATGAAAAAAACAAGAGTAATCTAAGGTATGCATTTGAAGGTATGCAAAGTGTTGATGAATCTCTTCGAAAGTAGTGTATCACGCGGACTGGTTGGAGCTCCTATACTATCCACCCGGATGTAGGTACATCCGTACATCTGGTCTAATTAAAGAGTCCAATTAAATTATCAAGCCCATAAGAAAAGGCTCAATGTTGTCTCACCGCTTAAGAAAGACAGACCTCGTTTTCTTCCATAAGAACATCAAACTCAATCGAATTTGGCTTTGAGGAGTCTGCAATCGTGCTCAACTTGCTTGGATTTCCACCTCGCCCTTTTGTTCTGAAACCATATCGCCACTTGACGTGGTTGCAGCCCCAAATCTCCGACAACTTGGAGCTTCTTCATCTCCAGCTTTGTTTCCAGCTTGAAAATGGTTTCCAACTAGGGGTGGACTCGGGCCGGTTCGGGCCTGGGCCCGGCCGGGCCTCGGTTCATGAAAGGGGAGGCCCGGAACCGGCCCCGGTAACCCCCGGGTCCGGTTCGGGCTGGGCCTCGGTTCTACTTAATTTTTTTTGGCTTTTCCTAATTAACCCCCAACCCTCCCCCCCTCACCCCCAAACCACCCCAAACCACCTCAAATGGCCCAAAATACCCCAGCCCAACCCAAAAACTTAAAAAAAATTCAAAAAAAATAGAAAAAAAAATAGGCTCGGACCGGGCCCGAACCGACCGGGCCGGTTCACCTTTTCAAGGGCCTAAGCCCGGCCCGGAACCTCAGCAGGTCGGGTCTACCCAGACCGGTCCCTGGCCGGGCCGGCGGTTTGGGCCGGTTCAAACAGTGACCGGACCAGGCCGGTTCCGGGCCGGGCCACCCGGCCCGAGCCCACCCCTATTTCCAACGATTTCACTTGCTCATTGTTGAACCTCTTACAACTACTCTTCTTGTCCTTCTTCTTCGACGCTGTCGTCTTCCGCCGCAGGCCTCCGTCCTCAGATTCCTAGTTTTCCGCCGCTTCACACTCTTCTTCATCCTCCATCTCGATCTTCGCCGGTTCCTGCCGGCAGACTGTAGTGAACTGTAAAGATCATTTAACTAAAAGACTCTAATTTTTTCAGTGGCATTTTGTAAACTAAGCAAAAAATCGTGACTTCCGTTAAATGAGCATCAGTGTACATTTAGTGAGCATCTGACCAATTTTATTGAGTATTAAAAGCCAAACAACGAGTACCGTCGTAATCTCTGCTTCATATCGTCTAAGTCATTTTCTTTTTCTTATTTTTTCTTTTATAAAACTTATTAAATTATATCTATAAATAACTCCTATGAGTTTCAATATGTGAATTTAATATAATAAGTCACTTTTTAAATGCGCATTAATATGACATTTTTCATATGAGCATTAAATCAGTACCAAATGAGGACGTGTAACTTACACAATGTGCATTGATATGAAAATCATGTTAATTGAACATCACGACATTTTCATTGAGCATCAAACCTATCTATTGAGATAAAATCATGGTTTCTGTTAAATGAGCATTGATGAACATTTACTTAGCATCAGACCAATTATGTTGAGTATTAGGAGTCTGAAATTGAATATCGTGATCTATGCTTCATATCTTATAATTCACTTTCAAAAATTGCGGCTTCCGCTAAATGAGCATTAGTCTACATTTAGTGAGCACCTGACCTATTCTATTGAGTATTAAAAGCTAAACAATGAGTATCACGATCTCTGCTTCGTATCATCTAAGTCACTTTCTTTTTCTTACTTTTTCTTTTATAAAAACATATCAAATTGTATCTATAAATAACTCCTATGAGTTTCAGTATGCGAATTTAATGTAATATGTCACTTTTTAAATACGCATTGATATGACATTTTACATATGAGCATAAAATCAGTACCAAATGAGCACGTGTAACTTACACAATGTGCATTGATATGAAAATCATGTTAATTAAACATCACGATATTTTCATTGAGCATCAAATCTCCTCTATTGAGATGAAAATCATGGTTTCGGTTAAATGAGCATTAATGAACTTTTAATGAGCATTGAAACACTTTCGATGAGCATCAGGCTTATTTGGTTGAGTATTAAGAACCTTACAATGTGAATCTAATGTCATATGCAACTTTTAAAATTTGCATGAATATGACATTTTAACAATAAGCATAATATGAGTGCCAATTGAACAAATGTAACTTACAAAATGAGTATTACTATGAAAATCATAATTTCTTAAGTTGAACTTCAAGACATCTCTATTGAGCATCAAACCTTGTCTATTGAGTATTGAAAACATTCAATTAAGTATCATGGTCGGTGCTCCTATATCTATAATCAACTCCTACATGAATCTAATCTAATTAATATTGTACTTTTGAGATATGCATTGATATAACATTTTAAAATGAGTATAGAAAGAAGATTCTGTTGCTAATAATCAAATCATCTAATAATGCTTATTGTAGCTTTTCTCATCTATATTCCTCTCTTCATTTGTCTGTGTAGAGGAAAGGCATATGATTTGGTTATTGATTGCTAATAACCAAATCATTTACTAATGGTTATTGTAGCTTTTCTCCTCTATATTCCTTTCTTCGTTTGTCTGTGTAGTAGATACTAGCTGGTGATATATCATTTTTTATGGTTGGTTATTTATCACAAATAAAAGTGGATTTATAAAACAATACCTGACTCTCATAGAGGTAAGGTAGATCCTGAAAGTGTATTCCTCCTACCTATAGTAGTGTCCTTGCTTGACCTCCAAGCCAACCACCATCCTTTTACATTGATATGACATTTTACATATGAGCATAAAATCAGTACCAAATGAGCACGTGTAACTTACACAATGTGCATTGATATGAAAATCATGTTAATTAAACATCACGATATTTTCATTGAGCATCAAATCTCCTCTATTGAGATGAAAATCATGGTTTCGGTTAAATGAGCATTAATGAACTTTTAATGAGCATTGAAACACTTTCGATGAGCATCAGGCTTATTTGGTTGAGTATTAAGAACCTTACAATGTGAATCTAATGTCATATGCAACTTTTAAAATTTGCATGAATATGACATTTTAACAATAAGCATAATATGAGTGCCAATTGAACAAATATAACTTACAAAATGAGTATTATTATGAAAATCATAATTTCTTGAGTTGAACTTCAAGACATCTCTATTGAGCATCAAACCTTGTCTATTGAGTATTGAAAACATTTAATTAAGTATCATGGTCTGTGCTCCTATATCTGTAATCAACTCCTACATGAATCTAATCTAATAAATATTGTACTTTTGAAATATGCATTGATATAACATTTTAAAATGAGTATAACACTAGTATACAATGAACATATATTACTTTTTAAATGAGCAATAATATGAAAATCATAAACTTTGTTAGCTGAGCATCAAAACATTTTTATTGAACATCAAACCTTCTCTGTTCAGTATCAGAAACATGCAATTGTGTATCATGATCTCTGCTCTCGTTTATATAATCTAACTCTTATGTGATTTAATATGATGCTTTTGAAATATGAAATAATATGACATTTTAAACTTCACTTCTTCTTTTCCAACTTTTATTTAACAGCAGTTCAGTATTTGCATTTTACAAGGAAAAAAACACATAATTCATTTTGAAAAACCTTTGTAAAATCATCACACCATTACTAACAACCGATCCAAACGTTTGTTCTACACTTAACACGTTTATGTATATAAAATACACACACATACATACATCGAACTAATTAGTTATTGATCTGACATTAACAAAAGTCCAATTTTAATGAGTATTAAGCGTCTAATAATAAGCACCGTGTTATTACAAGAAAGATGATATCACAACTAAATCAAAAGGCTCATTTAAAATCTCTAGTATGCTCGAATATTAAATGAGAATATATAACCTATGAAATGAGCACCAGAAAATATAAATTGAGCATTACACCAATATCAAATGAGCATTCCACCAATATCAAATAAACATTACACCAATACGAAATGAATGCTGAAAAATTTAAAAAGCTCATTTAAAATTTCTAGTATGCTCAAATATCAATTTGTGTATGTTCATCTCAAGATAACATAAAGAAGCATCAATTCCTTATTTTAGACCAACAATTTTATTGTGCTTATTTTCAAATGAAGTTAGAGGAGCAGAGACAAAAGGCATATATAAAAACAAAAAACTTAATAAGAAAAAGAAAAGTTAAAGTTAGAAAAATTGAAGTTCAAAATTATAGGAAAAGAAAAGTTTGTATTTATTCAAGTGCAATATAGAACACAGTCAATCAAGAAATGAAAGAAAATTCATTTGGGTATTTTTTAGAACAGTTTGTAGGCATTCTTATTTAGGTGTCAGTTTAAAGGAAAATAGTAGATCAATGTTAGTGAAATGAAGCTAGAGATCAAGATGTTCCAAATAAACTATCATTCCTCTTAATGTTTTTTTGAAAAATCAGATAAGTCAACTTTAGGAAGAAATTGAAAATCAAGAAAAAAATGAAATTGGAAATTGTAGACTGCACGAGCGTCTCAACCAAGATCATTTTGAGTAAAGATTATGCCTTTAGGGCTGGAGCAGATGAGATCGTCCATGTTATTCGTGAAGCATGGGAGAAGACTTGCTTAAGATTTAATTTTCATTTCAGGAGAGTGGAGAAGGCAAAGGGAGTCGCAGAATGTCGTGGATGACAAATGAGACGAGCCTGATACAGAATTGTTTGAGGCTGAAACTTGGAGGGAATTACAAGTTTACCCAAATCTACCATGCACATGGTACAACCGGGTGTACCATATAATTTACCGACTGGTTGCAAGAATGTGATTATTATAATTGAGTAAATCAATCATCTAAGAAGCATAATCTAAGAATGTGATAAAATATGCCATTTTTACGTGACAAAATAACGACTCCTTTTAGAAGAGGTTTATATCTGTGAAGTTTAACTTTAGCTACTCAATTCATATGCTTTGTAGACATTTTTTCAAA